GTCCTCGCTGGGGCTATGGATGGCACCAATGCCGAAGTTGGATACAAGCCTGAGCTGTTTGATCGAGACGAACACTCCGTCAAGTATGCCATTGATTGGGTCAAGGAATATGGACCGCGTCTGGTCAAGAATGCCATTGGGCAAACCTTTGTCGATACCAAGATGAGCCGGTTGCTAGGCATCCCTCCCATCATGGTCGCTGGAATGACACCAACTACAGTCCCATGGGATTTCATTGCTGCAACGATGAATGCAGGCTACCATATTGAACTTGCTGGTGGCGGTTATTACAATGCCAAGTCGATGACAGAGGCCATCAGCAAGATTGAAAAAGCCATTCCACCGGGCCGCGGTATCACAATCAACCTGATCTACGTCAACCCTCGCGCCATGGCGTGGCAAATTCCACTTATTGGAAGATTAAGGGCCGATGGCGTGCCAATTGAAGGTTTGACTATCGGTGCTGGTGTGCCATCTATTGAGGTGGCCAACGAGTACATTGAAACACTTGGCATCAAGCATATTGCCTTCAAGCCAGGTTCCGTTGATGCGATCCAGCAAGTCATCAACGTTGCTAAGGCTAACCCCAAGTTTCCTGTTATTCTGCAATGGACTGGAGGGCGTGGTGGGGGACACCATTCCTTTGAAGACTTCCACCAGCCGATTCTGCAAATGTACAGCCGCATCAGACGCTGTGATAATATTGTGCTGGTCGCCGGCAGTGGTTTCGGCGGTTCCGAGGATACCTATCCTTACCTCTCGGGCACATGGTCTTCCAGCTTCGGTTACCCACCAATGCCTTTTGATGGGTGCCTATTTGGTAGTCGCATGATGATTTCCAAGGAAGCGCATACATCAAAGAACGCCAAGAAGGCCATTGCCGATGCTCCTGGTCTTGACGACAAAGATTGGGAAAAGACATACAAAGGCTCCGCAGGTGGGGTTGTCACTGTGCTTTCAGAGATGGGCGAGCCTATTCACAAGTTGGCTACTAGAGGCGTCCTGTTCTGGCATGAAATGGATCAAAAAATCTTCAAGCTTGATAAGGCAAAGCGTGTTCCTGAGCTCAAGAAGCTCCGGAACTACATCATCCAGAAGCTCAATGATGACTTCCATAAAGTCTGGTTCGGTCGCAATGCATCTGGAGAGACCGTCGACCTGGAAGATATGACTTACACAGAAGTGGTGCACCGCATGGTGGACCTCATGTATGTCAAACATGAGAGTAGATGGATCGATGATTCTCTGAAGAAATTGACCGGTGATTTCATTCGTCGAGTCGAAGAGAGATTCACCACTGCCGAAGGCCAAGCGTCTCTACTACAAAATTATTCTGAGCTTAACACACCGTACCCGGCCATTGACAACATCTTGGCTTCGTATCCGGAAGCTTCTACTCAGTTGATTAATGCTCAAGACGTACAGCACTTCCTGTTGCTCTGCCAACGACGCGGTCAGAAACCAGTTCCATTTGTCCCTTCGCTGGATGAAAACTTCGAGTACTGGTTTAAAAAGGACTCCCTTTGGCAGAGCGAAGACCTCGAGGCAGTTGTGGGCCAGGATGTTGGCAGGACATGTATTCTGCAAGGCCCGATGGCTGCAAAGTTCTCTAATGTCATTGATGAGCCTATCGCGGATATTCTGAACGGTATTCATGACGGTCATATTGAAAGCTTGATCAAGGATGTTTATGGCGGCGAGAATAGCGATATTCCTGTCATCGAATACTTTGGGGGACGTTTCCATCAGGTTGATGATGATTCAGATATTGACGGCCTTACGATTTCGGAAGACACTAACAAGGTCAGCTACCGCTTGTCATCGTCTCCGTCTGCTGACCTGCCTGACCTGGACCGTTGGTTGCGTCTTCTTGCTGGGCCATCATATTCCTGGAGGCATGCCATGTTTTTGGCCGATGTGTTCGTTCAAGACCATCGTTTCCAGACTAATCCTATGAAACGGATTGTTTCTCCGGTTCCTGGTATGTATGTGGAAATCTCGTTTCCGGAAGATCCTTCCAAGACAACCATCATCGTGAGGGAACCTTATCAGTCTGGCAAACTTGTCAAGACGGTTGAGGTGAAGATGAACGAGCAGAGCCAGATAAGTCTCACCATGTATGAAGGAAGAACGGCGGAAGCCGCTGTTGTGCCTCTGTCTTTCTTGTTCACATACCATCCTGACGCAGGCTATGCACCAATCCGTGAGGTCATGGACAGCCGTAACGATCGTATTAAGGAGTTTTACTACCGCGTGTGGTTTGGCAACAAGGATGTTCCGTTTGAAACTCCTACTACCGCAACTTTCAACGGCGGACGTACCACCATCACATCCCAAGCGGTTGCCGACTTCGTCCATGCTGTCGGTAACACTGGCGAAGCTTTTGTTGACCGCCCCGGCAAAGAGGTCTTTGCTCCCATGGATTTCGCTATCGTGGCAGGTTGGCAGGCAATCACTAAGCCCATCTTCCCACGCACGATCGATGGTGACCTGCTGAAGCTGGTTCATCTGTCAAATGGTTTCAAGATGGTTCCTGGAGCCCAACCCCTCAAGGTCGGCGATGTCCTGGATACCACCGCTCAGATCAACTCAGTTATCAACCAAGAGTCTGGGAAAATGGTTGAAGTATGCGGTACGATTGAAAGAGATGGTCAACCCATCATGCATGTCACCAGCCAATTCCTGTACCGTGGAGCATATCTGGACTTTGAGAATACTTTCCAGCGCAAGGATGAAGTACCCATGCAGGTCCACCTTGCTTCTAGCCGAGATGTCGCCATCCTTCGCTCGAAAGAATGGTTCCGAATGGATGAGTCCGAAGTTGAGCTATTGGGTCAGACCTTGACCTTCCGTCTTCAGAGCTTGATTCGATTTAAGAATAAGTCCGTGTTCAGCAATGTGCAGACCATTGGCCAAGTCCTCCTGGAACTACCCACCAAGGAGATCATCCAAGTGGCCTCTGTGGACTATGAAGCTGGCACTTCTCATGGAAACCCGGTGATCGACTACCTCCAACGGAATGGAACATCTATTGAGCAGCCTGTCTATTTCGAAAACCCCATCCCCCTTAGCGGCAAGACGGCATTAGAATTGCGCGCTCCTGCCTCCAATGAGACGTACGCTCGGGTTTCTGGCGATTATAATCCGATTCATGTGTCTCGCGTCTTCTCAAGCTACGCCAACCTACCCGGTACCATCACTCATGGAATGTACACAAGCGCTGCCGTTCGCAGCTACGTCGAAACTTGGGCAGCTGAAAACAATGTTGGCCGCGTCCGAGGCTTCCATGTGTCGTTGGTCGGCATGGTTTTGCCCAATGATGTCATTACTGTCAAGTTGCAGCACGTTGGTATGATCGCCGGTCGTAAGATTATCAAGGTCGAGGCTATCAACAAAGACACCGAAGATAAAGTCCTCCTGGGTGAAGCTGAGGTGGAACAGCCCGTCACGTCATATGTCTTCACCGGTCAGGGATCCCAGGAGCAGGGCATGGGCATGGAACTTTACGCGAGCAGTCCAGTTGCCAGGGAGGTTTGGGATCGGGCAGACCGCCATTTCATTGAGAATTACGGTCTCTCAATCATTGACATTGTGAAGAACAATCCCAAGGAGCTGACCGTCTATTTTGGCGGTCCACGTGGAAAGGCTATCCGGCAGAACTACATGTCAATGACCTTTGAAACTGTCAATGCAGATGGGACCATCAAATCAGAGAAGATATTCAAAGAGATTGACGAGAACACGGCATCTTATACTTACCGTTCGCCATCTGGACTTCTTTCTGCAACCCAGTTCACACAGCCGGCTCTAACATTGATGGAGAAGGCAAGCTTTGAGGACATGCGCTCTAAGGGTCTGGTCCAGAGAGACAGCAGCTTTGCGGGTCACTCACTGGGTGAGTATTCAGCACTTGCAGCACTTGCCGACGTCATGCCCATCGAAAGCTTGGTTTCCGTTGTTTTCTATCGTGGTTTGACAATGCAGGTTGCTGTGGAGCGAGACGAGCAGGGTCGCTCGAACTACTCTATGTGTGCTGTCAACCCCAGCCGTATCTCGAAGACCTTCAATGAACAAGCCCTACAGTATGTGGTTGAGGTTATTTCTGAGCAAACGGGCTGGCTACTGGAGATTGTCAACTATAACGTTGCAAACATGCAATATGTTGCCGCTGGTGATGTGAGTGCTTGCATCATTATTTAGTTACCGCGCGTCCTGTGCTAATCTTGTTGTAGCTCCGGGCACTTGACTGCCTTACGAATTTGCTCAACTATCTCAAAGCTCAAAACATTGACATCCCCGCGCTCATGCAAAGCATGTCCTTGGACGATGTCAAGGCACACCTCGTCAATATCATCCAGGAGTGTGTTAAACAAACAGAGTCGAAACCTAGGCCAATTTCTCTTGAACGTGGCTTCGCCACCATTCCTCTGAGAGGAATCGATGTGCCTTTCCACAGCACCTTTCTTCGTTCTGGTGTCAAGCCTTTCCGCTCATTCTTATTGAAGAAGATCAACAAGACCACCATTGACCCCAGTAAATTGGTCGGCAAATACATTCCGAACGTCACAGCTAGACCGTTCGAGATCACAAAGGAGTACTTCGAGGATGTTTACAGACTGACCAACTCCCCTAGAATTGCGCACATTCTAGCAAACTGGGAAAAGTATGAGGAAGGCGGGGAAGGCTCACGCCCTACTGGGGCCACTAGTGTCTAGGACTAGATTTTTCAGTATATATGGTGACCCTGTCGTCTCTGTTCTTGTTTTAAAAATTCGAGTTGCCTTGTTCTAGCGCTGGTGTTTAGAAACCCTTCAATCTTACTGTTCAATCGGTCGAGCCTTTAGCTATTGGTGTAGAAGTGCGGATATCAATTAGACTCGCAGGAAGAGTGGAAAGAGTAAGGGAGACAAGGTAAACATAGATTATAAGTGAAAACTAGACAGCTTTCATTGCTTACTTCAGAAATTTACCTCTGGGTGGGCAAGCGGCCTTATGAATGTGTAAATGCATTTTCATTTGCTTCCTGATCTAGTAAAAGCGTGGCGTACAAGTTCAGCGGCTGCTAGTCCAGCCTAGAGAAAATCGATTATAACAGAGCCGCTGCAAAAGCTGCTCTAGGCTTCCATTACTTGCTCGTATCTATTCAACGATTGCTGCAAGACATGTGTAGCATATAACCCTGTTTGATGGGGCGTCACATAGATAGGATCATGGCCCCTTCAGTGAACCAGGTCGTAAAAGCCGATCCTCTTTCCCGTAAACTCCCACGTCTTTGACGATAGCGATAAACCTTCGGTGGTTCTCTTTGGATTCCCCGATACGAGGACGGAAGATTTTTAGCAAGTCGCTACTTAAGATACCGGATTGCGGGATGGCGGCATGAATTTCCGCGGGTGTCGGGAAGCTTTGGGTATTACTAGATGGCCCTGGTGTCGAAATGCGCGTCGGACCTATATGTGTACGGTCAATCAGTAAGCCGATTTGTAGACCATTGGGGGCATCACAATATAATCGAGCAACTTACCTCTCAATGACTCTGGACTGCTAGCACGACTTCCTGAGAAGCTCTTGCTACCCAGGGGAACCGGGCTTCCAGCCCTAGATCCTTGAGGTGTCACACTCTGGGATGCTACGGAGGGAGGATTGAGTTTCAATTTCTTGGTCTTCCCACTTTCGCTCATCTCCCCTCCTGATCCTGCACCACCGTCAACATCACTGATAGATCCCGCACCTCCCCCTAGCATATTCCTAACGCGCTTTTTGCTGACCTAGGCTGAATAAGTGACTAGAGCAGATCCAAAATGAGTTAAAGTAAGCTTACTGGCAACGATGATGACGCGTTTGGAGACATGGGTCGAGAAGATGGCTGGGGTGTAGGCTGGGAAGATGGGTGCTTGCTCTTCCCCTTCTTACGAGAAGTATCTGTCCCACTTGCATCAGACGGAGATCCAAGCCGCTTCCGAGGTGCTGTGGCGGTTCCTTTCTTCAACAAATCCGTATGTCTTGAGCGACCTGATGGCGTAAGGTTACCCTTAGAGGGCTCTTTCTTGCTCTTGTCCTCTTCGACTTTTACCTCTTCCTCCTCCTTCGGCCGTTCAGCATCACTTTCATCCGAGCTCTGTTGATGAATATCTGATCAGCGATGGCTGCTATACATGGGCGCATAGACACAGAAAACCGAAAGAAGGTGGAAAGTTTCAGAAAACATACCTCGTCATCGGAATAAGGATTCGCATCCGAGCCACTGCTATAGTCGAAGTTCTTTTCTCTCTTCTGAAGGGCCTTTCGTACTTTCTTTCCGAGCACCCGACGGGCTTCTTTTTCTCTTTTCTCTCTTATTTCCTCCTCTTCATAGTCCTTTTCCATTTTCAGATCGAACACATTCGCCTTCAGCTGGTCTTTCTTGATTCGCTTTTCAGCCGCTTTTGCTTCCTCGTCCTCGTTGAAAAGATCATCGTGCTCCTCGTCGTCCGCAAACCTATCCTCTTCGAAGTCCATCTCGTCTCCTTCTAACCCTTCAACTCCGCCTGGAGTACCCTGTTTGCCGGCGTACACTTTTTGCTGCTTAGCAAACTGCTCAAGCTCCTTCCGCTGAGCCAATTCTTGCTGCTTCTCCATGAACCACCGTGGGTCTTTGACCTTTTTAGCCATGAATCTTTCGGCCTCTTCTATGGTCAAGGCCTTGAATTGGTTCTTCGCACTGAAGCGATACCACTTTTCCACTGGAATCATTCTCATTCTCCCTGTATTCTCAAGCACAAATACCGCATGCGTCTCTGACAAGGCGGCTTCGTAATTTCCCACCCAGATATTCTTGTTGTCAAAATCCTCCAAGTGCCATGGTAGGGCCTCCTCGTACTTGATCCGAGTCCTGGCTATCTCTTCGGGTGTCATGTCCGTCTTAGCCACCTGCTGAGTTTTCTGCTTAGGTGCGTTATGTCTTTTCGGCGCCGATCCGACAGAGGGGGCTATTTGAGCCATGTTTTCCGCACGCTCTTTTTCGCGAGCTGCCTTCCTCGCCTCAAGTTCCTCCCGTTCAAGTTCATCCATCTGAGTGCTTTGTTCGAAACCGTGTTTTGAATTGAATTGGCCTCTTTCAACATGTGATTCATGCGACCGTGCTCGTGGATCTCGGCGCTGGAGTCTAACGGGACGAGTAAATTGAGATTCATCGCGAGGATCAACAGATTTCTTAGACGTGAACCTTGCAATATGATGCTTCAGGCCTTCGCGCAATGCTCGTCTTGTAGTCACAATAGGGTAATCAACATAATTTTCGGACAACAATGGGCCACTGAATCCGTTCGTCGCGAAATCATGCCTTGGATGCGCAGGTCCAGTTCTCTCGGGCCGATTCCCGGAGAGTACATTGGAAGTGACGGGCCTGGAGGATGGCAATCTTGATGCGCTATTTGCCGCTGATGTTGGGATCGGAGGTTTCACTGCCGGTCTTCTCTTCGGTCGCACGAGAGGATCCGCCACTTTTGGGCGACGAATCCTCAAAGGCGGGGGACCATTTGACCCCGTTGGGGCCTGCAGTGGTTGGTCATTCGTAGGGGTGGTCATGATAGCCGCTTAGTGTTTGTCGTTTGAGATCCTGGGAGACCTTCTCAAGACTCAAGAGGGAATTTATGAAAAGACGCTCAGATCTTTTTTGAAACACATGAGTGACTTCGATCCATAGACCAGTGACAAACACCGTGTAGAGGTCAGAGGTGACGGCTGAAGTGAGGCGGAGATGAACGAGGTGAGAGGATGGTGATTATGTAAGGAAGCCATCATAACGTAATCGGACACCGAGCCGGCGGCGGTCTGCCGCCGCCTCGCTGACTGCCTCGCTGGCCGCTTCCTAAGGCTATTCAGCCACCAAGAAAAGGCTGTATACATCAATTCTTGTTGTTTTCATGAGGGCATTTTAAACGATTGTGTCCTTCACTTCCACATATACTGCAGCGGGCTGGCCGGCGTGCCCTGGCCGGCCTTGGTGCTGCGGCCTGAATTGCTTCATTTTCTCGCATCTGAGCTATATTAAAGCCCTCTTGGCCTGTCAAAGTGCCTCCCTGCTGTATATAACGACGTGAGGCCTTTCCCTTTTCTTTTTTACTTGCTTGTATAGACTGGAATTGCTTAACTTGTTGTTGAAGCAGGACTGTGTTCTGCATAGACTGTTCCGCAGCCTTAATCATCTTTTTAATAACTTTGTGTGAAATTATTGATGCTAGGCCTTGATCTGCAAGTTCTTGTATTTCTTGTCTCTGTTTTCTGAGTTTATATAAATTTGCAAGCGTTTTTCCAAGATAGAAAGACTGATTAGAATGCGAGGATGTTAGCGGAGTTAGTGTTTTTAATTGAATCTGTAGCATTAAAAGCACCTTTTGAGGATTTAAAGGAACGAGGCCGGTGGCACGGAATCTACTGAGTATATTGATATTAGAGAAGGCCTTGGCGTGGACACTGATATAACTGTAAGAAATCAAGTTTAGTAATTGATTCTTCTCTATAATAAATAGTCTCAGATACACGCTGGCTATATAACTTTTTTAATGGTCTAAAACAAGTGATGTTAAGTGGCTGCAGTTTATGGGATGAGTGGGCAGGCATATATAAAGGAATAATTTTCCGTGCTGTACAGAACTGATCAAACTGCTGAGTTGCATGACTGCTATGACTGTTAAGAATCAATATATGATACTCGCCAACAGTTTTTGAAGCCGTATACTGGTTAAACACGTTCTGAAGCCAGTCAAAACCAAGCTTATTAATAGTCCAGCCATTCTTGCTGATACTCAGATAATATGATCTTGGACAGACTTTGTATTATGTTGATTGATGATTCTATACTGTAAAGATAATCTGCAGTGGCAGAACTGTTTTTAAGGCTGATATTATAATAATTAAAGTCACTTATTCGCAGTTTCTTAGCTATATACACTTTGCACGTGATTTTTATATTTCTAAGCCACAGATTATACAAGCAGTTAAAGTAACTCCTATCTGAAATCTAATCTCATCCATATTCCATATATCTTTATCAAGAATATTATATCTTTAGACTGTATTATGAATGAGGTCGAACCATCTCTGAATAAGATAAGGATCCTTATATTTAGCATGTTGATAATCATACTTTGATATGAATTTAGATATTAGTTCCGGATGATGTTTAATATAACAAGTAATCTAACATTCTAATATAATACTGTGTTGATTTGGCTTTAACTTTACTTGATATAGCAGCTAGACGGAGAATTAAATATCACAGATTTTAAGAGACAGTCTACGGTAAGCCATAATAAGAAGCCACTGCTTTAACGTGTTTTTCTTAATTATAGATAGCTTTCTACTATTGGCATCTTTTTCTATATGTGATTTAATGCTATTTAAACAATCTTTAAAAGTGCTTATCTTGATGTCAAACGCGGCAGCGCAGGCAACCTTTGTAGAGAACTTCCCACTCTTAAAGACTTTAACGGCGAGATTTAAGCGTTCATTTATATCAGCTATATTGATATACGAAAAGAAATATTAAAGAAATCACGATATATCGCGAATAGGGCAATTTGGAAGAGTTCTTCGACTTCAAGATGTTGAGGGTGCAAGACGCGGCTCGGTGTCGCGCCGGCTCGGTGTCCGATTACGTTAGCAGTAACGTAATCCACAAGCGAGTGGGCCGCACAAGCGAGTGGGCCGGCGCGCCCGGCCAAACATGCCTCCATGAAAAGATGAAGCTTATATAGTCCACTATATCAACAAAATAACGTGTTTAACTGGTGTTTTGACGTGTTGGACATCTTGTTCTTATATGCCCAATTGTTCCACACTCGCTGCAGCGAGATGGTGCCCGGCGGCGAGGCTGTTCCTCGCCTGTAGCTGATTCTACAAGCTGACTTCCAACTTAATCAGCCTCACAAGTCTGTTTGAACGCGATTTTAGCCTCTTCAACAGTGAGGCCGTTAAGGCCGGCCATTTAGCGATAAGACCTCTTCTTCTTAGTGTTTTGCCTCTCTAATCCAGCCCGTAATTCGTCGACTTTCTGCTCAAGCAAAGTAGCCCAGTTAAAGGCGATTTCGCATCCTTTTATAACATAGAATAACACTGCTTTCATCTGTGAAGATGGGCTAATTGTACGTTCACGAAGAAGCCTTTTAATAGTAGTTTCATGCCTCCGCAACTGCCTTGTATTCTTAGATATTTTTAGCACTGTTAATATAGTAGAAATACTACCGGTTAGAGTAGGCTCATGGAGCTATATAACCAGCCTATCAAGAACCTCATCTGGCTAGAATGGAACCAATCCTGAAGCCTTAAAGACGTTATATATAGTTAATTCTTTAAAAGTAAGAGAATATATATCTAGAAATATATCCAAGAAATCAATCTTATTAATATAGTGGGTGCTCTGGTAAATCAGCTGTTTTATTAAACTTCTATATACTTATTTTAATAGTATAAAGTAAGCAATATTAAGTAGTTAATAAAGATATGAAGAATGCGGAGGCATGCAGATAAGATTAATATTATTTTAGCTATATATATTATCAAATTCCGGAGTCAAATGGGAGTCGTGTCTGTCAAGAATTAGAAAACTATATTGTCTAATCCGTCAGTCCTTAGTAGAAGGAATAAAGTGTTCACGAAGCCAATGTAAACCAATCTTATTAAAAGTCTAATTATTTAGTGATAGATTAATATACTAATCAGATAAAATAAGGTCTTGATATCATATCCTTATATGAATCTTTCTCTTAAGAATTAAGTACAGCATCAACACCACACCGGCGGTGTTGATATATTTAATTAAGATCACCCATTCGCGGTTATCAGGCTGTATAAAAAATGGTTTACTTATATAATCAGATCTTGTGATTACACGCGCTGTAATCACTATACCCATAACAAAGCCTGTTTCATCAAAGTTCCAGATATCTTCATTGAGAATACCGTATTTCTTTCTTACGGCTTTAATCCGATCGAACCACTCACCTAAGAGCTTGGAATCTTCATATTTCGCACGTTAGATATGATATCTTTGAAAGAATTGACTCTTTAAAGCCGGTGTACGCTTAACAAAGTTATATACCCAGTTTTCGCCGACAGAGACTGCGGAATTCGAGGCATGTTTTTGAAGAATAGATGCTATATTCTGAACATATGACGGCCGAGGATGAAGCCCACGCTTAACAAGTAAGAGTATCCAGTCCTTTAAAGCCTCTTCTTCAAGGAGAGTCAGTTTCATAGACTTGACACGTATATCTGAACGTGATTTGACTCCTTTAATACATCGTTGCAGAGTTGAACACGGAACATTGTAAGCGCTCGCAGCTTCGTTTATATGCAAAATTCTGCTACTTTGAATAGCCTCAACAGCTAGGCAGATACGGCCTTCTTGTTCCACCAAAGATTTTGACGATTGAGGCATGTCTGGTGGAGTTGTTGGTGGTTGAATAGCTTCAAGTTGAAGAACGCGAGAATAACGCGCGCGCCGGCCCACTCGCTTGTGCGGCCCACTCGCTTGTGGATTACGTTAGTCGATGGTCACCGCCTGATTACGCGGATAGGCCCCAACCAAGCCAACATCTTGTTTACATGGCACTGCCACTAAAATAGTGGTATTCTATCACTCCACCTGTTTCAGTATGGTGAAGCACATTCAAGATAATGAGGTTCTTAACATTCTTGAGATGATTCAGGTGTAGTTAGGGTAATTAAGATAATTAAGGTAATTAAGGTAATTAAGGTAATTAAGGTAATTAAGGTAATTAAGGTAATTAAGGTAATTAAGGTAATTAAGGTAATTAAGGTAATTAAGGTAATTAAGGTAATTAGAGATCTTTAAAACTTTCTTTATATTAGTAAGTATATTAGATACGTACTTAAGATTGCCTATAAAGTGTAAAGTGCAGAGTGTAGAGTATTAAAAGAGTCTCGGGAATTCATTAAAGTAAGCTTAGCACGGCTAGTCATACCAAGAACATTCTTAATTGTCTGTACGGCAACTGAACATATCTGGAATTATGGAAATAGATGACTGTCTGGTGCAAGCCATGAGATAGTCTGTGGCTTAGTGCTTTTGTAGCAAGTCCAGGTCTTATTCTTTCTATAGGATGTACATCTTTTTCTTGATGAGGTCTGTATAATTTATCGGGTAGGTGTCAAACCCTAGGATCGCTTCTCCCTGTTCCTGTTAGCTTAGCTCCCGTTCTGATACGTACCTTGTGAACTGAATCAAAGGTAGTCAGGTTGTTGACTATCTAAAGGTGACTTGATCTGAACAGAAGAAGAGAAGTAAGGCCAGATAGTGCCGCGCAGCTATCCGTAAGTAAGTGCGGACGAGTGTTGTCGCTAAGCTTTACCAAAATATATGGTTACTTAAAGATAATTGGATTAAGCACAAAGAACAGAACTAGCTAAGTACATGAAAAAATGTCCTTATATCCTATTCTCTGTATACCATTTCGTATATCATTCAGAGTAGATCGAGGGTCAATCCAGTCATGTTCCTGGATTCCATATACTATATCATATATCCTCAATGGTAGATCTGATGGTAGATAGTCACGTGACACAGCGTTGCCTCAGATATTACCCTAACCGGGATCTTACTTAATAAGAGTTGCTGGCTGCCTGAGTCCTTCCTGATCATTACCTTTCTGCCTGATAAGTCTGCTTCTGCTAGTAACCTGGCTAGCAGGGGTCTGTAACATCACTCCCCCTCC